CATAATTATCTAGAATGGAAGCAAAAAATAAGTAAATCGTAATGATTAGAACACTGTAAACAGCTACAGTAAACAATGCTGATTTTAAATTGTATAACGGTCAGCTCAATTACTTTAATAAAGAGTTATTGTATAATGTACAAAATGTTGATACATTCTGATGAATATTTACAGCTACGGCCTCAATACCGTAGACGATTGTGGCCCGATCGTCAACAAAACATTACCCGTCTCCAGGGCAAGCGACTGGAAAAAGATACCGGTGTTCGGTCGAACCGGTGAAAAAAAATCGTCACTCCTGGAATAACAATGCAGTACGCAAAATAAAGAGCTAAACTGGAACCATTCAAGACACAATATAAACATAAAAATAAAAGATGACTTTCGTTGCATTTGACAATGATAAACTTACCGAAAAGCCGTGTTTTTCCCGATCTTTTTCGTCGCTAACGTCGGTATAATCTGCCATGTTATTTGAGTGTGTTTGCGGCCTGCCTCTGCCCGGTGTACGTCATCAGGTGCGCTATAGAAGGAGGTCTGTGATTCGTTGACTAAAATCGTCGATAGTGGGTGTCATTGAAATCTCGTTACATCGGCAGAGGCTCAGATGTATATAGGGGCGGAATTAAACAAAAATCACAAAATCAAAGTAAAATAATAAAATAAAAAGGCATTAATAACAAAAGTAATCAACAAAAAAATAAAAATAAGTTTATAGCCAAAATAATTAGAGCCCGTACACTACATCAGTTTTTAATCAGATTGGGTGTAGGTAGATGTAATTATGCATGGTGGATATCTGTTCGTGGTGATAAAATAAATAACACATGGTCATTCGGGCAATACCACGATTTGTCGTCTGCTCTCGGATGTTAAATATGAGTATAATATTGATGAAGCCCTTGCTTTCGTCTCTGACCATGTCATAACCACCACACCCTGGGCAGTCAACAAATCGTGATATTACCATCACAAACATGTGTCATTATTTAATTGTGTGCCCCAGGGAATGAGAATATGCACACATGATATTGAAGTGACTATCAATCGTTCTTTAATGTCTGAGTTCCAAACATACGTTGAAGCACTTTCCCCCACTGTATTATGAATAAATAAACCCTAGTGAATCATCTCCACTATACCGGACATATATTCTGATCGCCCAGAATGAAAACAGGCCGTGGCTATGATGGACATATATGGCCGCCATATTTTGGTGGACCTAAATCATTTCTGCAGTTCACGTTTATGATAATATATATCACATTAAGCAGATTTATCCGTGAATAAGCAAATAAAACAGCGCAAAACTATGTCAGTAGTGCGATGTTCGTCATGTACATTGACCACTTACTTTCAATGGTGTACGTGTTACAATCGGTACAGAACACATATTTACGTTCAGTAGATCTCCACCTACCTCGATTTAGCGGGTTTGGGTAGACGGCGGAACTACGTACACAGTTGATGTTGCTGTTGTATATGAACTCTGGGTAGGAAACGGGAAAATGAACGTGGAAAAGATATTGACAGACCCCAGTAAACGAAACGCCTCAGAGTTACCTTGACCTCTTAGGTTTATTGCGCATGCGTATAATACAGAGGTAGATTACTATTCGACTTTGCTTACTTACCATTAACATATCCCTTGAACAGTGGGGTACAAACGTGAAGCCTTGGAGACAGTCAATACAATTTCACACATAACCCCAACGAAAGCACAATACATTTGAACAAAGCATGTACATATATTTTTGAGTAAACTATTAACTGCACTAGACCTGGCTTAAATGACAGTAGTGCAAAGTATATAAAAGAAAAATACCCTATGGGAGAATATACATCAGCCAACTGGCCTTAGTTATTATGAACACATGGGTGAATTGTGACTATAACACACATTTATTTTGAGATAAAAATTACTGAAATGTGATCAACAGTCCGATTTGTGATAATCACTGAATAAGTGAGTAGTCGTGTTTCGTGTATGGCGTGAACTATGTCACCTTTGATCCAATATGAGGACACAGTGCGTGACCTTTAAACTAAATCATACGTCAGAAGAGCTTGTCCACAGTGCAACTTGTTTTTTCTTTTTACAAATTAAACATGAAAATACATTTACAATAAATTACACTAATATTGCCAATATGATTACGTTAGGTAGATATGATGGGAAAGCTGATTCCCAGCGTTGTTATTATTTTGAATTTAATCATAATAAATAAAATACAGCGTTGATTAGAAAATAAATGAAGAATGATCACACAGAATAGTGGAATACGTTACATATAGTGTGATAGTAAATGTACCGATTCGAAAGATACATAGTAATGATATTCATAAAGTGTATGAAATGAGGAAGCATGGAATCATGGTGGGTGCTGCTCATTCAACAATCACAGTAAAATTTATTGTATTGAATCGTAGACAAAACAAAATACAATATTACGGGACTATACATGCAATATCATTTTACAGAGTGATATTTCACACTGGACCCCTAACAGCAGTAATCTAGTGTATTTAATATTACTCACGTATAGAAAAAAAGTAGATGTTGTTATAACAATAATATAACAACATAATATCCCCAAAACAACATCTTGATAAATACTAATTAACGATTTGAAAGCGTCACAATTTTAAATCTATGTTTCAGGTAAATTGAAATTCATGTATAGCATTTAGCGATGATATCGAACAATGTTTTAGGGTTATACGACATTAAAGAAAGCACACACATGAAAGACTACGTGAAAGACATTGAATTGTAATTTGTACAAAACGAAATTAAATGCCACAACTTGTGAAATGCTCACCTACAAATTCATGTTGTTGGTTTATGTTGCCCTGAAATAAACATTTGTAAAGAAATGAAAATTAAATAATAAATTAATATATTTCGAAGTTGATTTATTACTTAATTTTCATTTGCCTGTAGATCCTCTTAGGACCAACCATTGACCCCTATCATGGACGGACTAAATCTGACTGATTAGAATGTGTTACTAGCATAACCTTATCATTATATTTCATGTGTGTTGTTAAACTGAAGGTCATAAGCAGGGTATATATATCGATTAAAATAAATATAATATTGTCGTTACCAACAGACTACGTAAGCTTATTTAAGAGTTTCAATAAATTATTCTCAGTGGGGAATGTAACATGGCACAAAGCTTGATATTCTAGTTATACAAGCAGTAGAAATGTCTCTCACTTTCGCGGAGCTAGTTCAGGCTGGAACATGTAGAGTTGCAAACCAGAAGTTCATATACTGTGTCAAATTGGTCATTATGTCTAGTTTGTCAACAGGCAAAATGTAAACAAGAGCGGGAAACATCACAGGTCTTGACAACACAAGTCCACAAAACGCTCTTAAATGCTGCTCAATACCGAAAAGATGACATTATGGTTCGAAGAATATTAGGTGTTGATCTAAATGCACTTGAGGCAAAATTCCATCGAGGTTGATATCGAAGATACACAGCTGTACTACCATCTACGAATCTTTGGAATATGATGCTGCATTTCAAAGTTAACGAGGTCGAATCAATGTTTGTCCATGAAAGCAGAACCTCTTGAGATGAACACCTTTCTGGAAATGTTTAAAAATCACCTGATGGCACAAAGAATAACAAAGCGACACCTCAGCAATACAAGACGCAGAATTGAAAACTCGACTCGACTTGTCAACAAAGATGCAATTATATTTTATCAAAGGATGTGAATTGGTCTACCAATAATGAGTCTGATGCAACAATCAACAATCACAGAATGGAGATTGAAGCTTGTATGACTTGGCTCACAATATCATAGCAGAACACACAAAGTACTCAGTTGAAATGATGCTTCCCAACTGTCCTCAGTCTAGCTTATTTATAGGGCATAAATGGGCCAGATTCGGGTACACCACCTGGGTTTCAACAGGAACCAATCAGAATGTGGTCTTGCAAGCAGCTTTCTCACAGTAGATCGTAGTCATCCATTGTTATGTAAATTAGAAGCACACCTTGTAGATTCAAATTGTCTATCCAAGTTGTAAACAAGTATGACCTGTCAATCAACTTTATCACACAGCACTGCATACAGGGTCTTCCTATGATTTCATGCACACTTCTATTTGCAGGGTTTGAGGAAATATAAAAAAAACATATAATAAAGAATGCTGATACACTTACATATTGAAAATGTACACCCTGGGTGGCGGTACAAAGCAGACTAACTATTGATTAGTATGTCCTCATTTCCACGTTCAATGATATTCAATGACATTTTAGAGTTCTGTTTTCAATTCGTATGACGTATTATGTCGGATGCCAATTCTATTTCATATTACTGTTTCCTCCTTTCGTGTTGCTCATTGCAGATAGTGGTATGTACCAGCTGCGTGTCTGATGCAAGGTCTGGAATCCGAAAAGACGTTGTGTAATTGAGCGTGTCCACTTTTCATTAGTATAAGTCATTCATGCGGGTTAACATGCCACTCTCTGTTCCCCTGACCTGAAAGCAATACCCCGTATCAGCGTGCTTTTAAATTTTACTTTTCCTCGTTCAGTCAAATCATTCTGTGTCAGTTACGCGGCTTGTATATGGTTGTCAACGTAGTGGCAGTGAGAATGTTCTATCTTCTGGTGTGCCTTTGTTCTTGGATACACCTGTGTCATAGCATTCTGTCAGGTAATCTTTTAGTAATAATTTCTAGCTTATTTCTATGGCTTCTTATTATAATATATCATT